AAATATTTTATTTTTATCACTCCCAAAAGAAGCCCTGTAAACCTTTAGCTATCACTCACATTTCTCTTCCCCACTTCCCTGCAGCCCCTAATCTACTTTCTGTCTTTAAGGATTTGTCTATTTCAGAAATTTCACATAATTGGAAGAAATAACATTAGAGATCTTTGGTGAGATTGGTGGACCTCCAATTTGGAAGATTTATTTTTGCCTCCATAACTTTTGTGAGGGATTGGGCCTGGGTTGTGAGGTGCAAATAAAATTTGTAAATTTCATGATTTTTTTTTTAAGGTTAGAAATACTATTCACCTTAACATGATTTCTCTTTTCATTTTTAATTTTCCTCTGGAGAATATAAGTTTCATGGACTTTAGTGAGAGTGTGGAGCTTCTCTCTAGAATTTTTTTCTTAAAATAATTTTCAGGGGAGGGATAAGCTCCATTATCTGGGGTTTCTCTCTCTCTTTTTAAATTCATAAATTTGTTTTTCTATTTTGAGAGTAAGGTTTATTTGCTTTACTGAGGGTGAGTGTCTCCTTTTAGAAATAGATGCTTTCTTTTTTAATACTTTTTTTCCACTGAGGGAATTATAGTCAGCGGGCTTTGGAAAAGTTAGGCACCCTATCACTAGCAGAATTTCTATTTATTTCTTTCCCCCAAAAGTCTTCTTTGAGAGTTATTGGTTCAGGGTCTTACACTTCTTCTCCTTCCTTCTCAGGCTCCTGTTCTATGATGGCCCTTTTTGGGAGCATCAAACAGGGAACAGCAGTCACTGCTTTGGGAAAAAAATCAAAGCTGGTAGAATGTCAGCTTAAAGATTGTCCTCAGACAACTGAGGATCCTATGTGTCACAGAAAGCCATATGTTGAATATTTTTAAAAATCCACAATTGATAAATTGATAAACTGTTATATCTTATTTAGATGGCTAATTTTATTTTTGCTCTCCCCGACCCTGCTGCCTTCTTAAGGAGAATAAAAGAGTTAGTGATACATAAGAAAGCATCCTGGAAACTGTAAATTGCCATATAAGCAGAAGGAATTATATAATCCTTATTTTAATGTCCCTGAATGGTTTTCCGGCCTCTATGGAGTTGTCCTCTTTCCTTGGAAGAACTTGGGGTAATGGGTCAGCCTTTTCTTTTAGGCTACAGATCTGCAGAAGCCCTAGTTGGAGATTTTAATAAACACTAAGAATTGTACTCCCAGAAGTGAAAGACCACTGACCAAATATCTCATTATCTTTTCTAGAACATCTTGTAGCAAATGTTCAGTAGCTCTCAAAATATACCAAATAAATCAGATGGTATCATAAAAACCTGACAAGGAGGTGGGGAAAGACCCAAGAAGAATAAAAGTAATTTCATCCTGACCTTCAACAGTTGAACATTGAAATCTGCAATCCCAAAATTGTTTATAGTCACTGCAGATAGTCTATTCATTTAGGAAAAAATTTATTACCCCTGAAACCAACATCATCATTAGTCTGCTGCTGTCAGGACTGCAGGGAATAAGGACACTTTCCAAACCATTTTTTTAAATTGTTAGTACTTTGCTTCTTAATTATGGTACCAACATCCATTCTAAAAATGGAAAGATTGACTTCATTTCCTTAATGGCTATATATTCCAGGCTATTTAAATAAGCATTTACTTCTCACTCTGAAATCAATGTAAATGTAATTTTATTATTCACAGTTGTCTCTGTCATTGCTGGAAATGGAATTGATAGGTTTTAAGCTTCAACAAGTATTTATTGAACAAAAATAGGGAGGGTAGAATTGTACTAGGCAGTAGGAGGGAGTGACAGTATCTACCTTTGAGAAGCTCAGATATAGTTAAGATAATAATGTATTCAGGTAAGAATTACCAGATATCACATAAACAAATGCTTGCTACTTTACAAGAAAATGTGTGCAAAAATTACCAAGAAACAGTTCTGGTTTGGTGTGTAATGGTAATTGCTGTGTAGTCGTTAAGAGTGATACACAGATCCCCTGCCTACCCAAGAGATATAAGCCGCAAAAATGTATTTCTTCTCAGATTTTCATCAATCACCGGTATGGTGTGATTATATTTTCATAGCTGGTCAAAACCCAATGAATAAAAATATAAACTGTCTTTCTTCAACTACAGCTGAGGTGAGAGAAAGAAATATAGTCTACTTCATGTAAGCCTGCCCTCCCACCCCACACTCCCCAAAAGAATTATAGCATTGCTAAAGAACCAATTCACACATCCTTACTTACACTTGCTGCCACCAGGTGGGTGACAACGGTTCATTTCCTGGAAATCAAAACATTTTTGAAAGGAAGGAAATAGGTTTGGTTCACAGACTGTGTTATCCTGGTAGTTATTCAGAAAGAGAACATGAGCCCCCTTTCTCAGTCTCTACCCTCATTCTTGGCATAGATTTGTAACCGAGAGGTTCTGAAGCCTCAAAAGAGCAGACTACACACTGCAAGATGTTGGATTTGTTTTTTCACTGCAATAACAGCAAAATTATTTAGGAGAAACCTGCAGTCACATTCAAACACTTGGTTTTGCTCATTTCATCTTTTGACTTTTAAGGCTGGTTTCATGCTACTGGTAGGATTTGTACAATGAAAGCTCTATTTTGTTTTGATCTCTCAGTGTGTGTGTGTGTGTGTGTGTGTGTGTGTGTGTATTTTCCAAGCTTGCAGCGAGGAGGCAGTGTCTGAGAACAATGTCATCCCAGCTAAGATGGCAACCTGTTTGCCTTGAATGTTAAGATGCAAGTCAGCTGGTTGCAGGTGCTATTTGTCTGAGAAGGATGCAGCAGAGAATGGTCCTATCACTGAAGATAAGATGTTCCTTCCCATTTGTACCAGTGAGCAATTGTATAGCAACACCCAGAGTGTTGAGAAAAGGTTTAGGCTCCAGCAACCTGAATCTTTCAAAATCCTCTGGAGGGGCTGATGGGTTCATTCACATGCCCTCTTAGTGGATGGTCAAGGTTTTTAAACTCATTTTGCAAGATAAGTGACTGAACAAAGACCAGCTCTAAGGTCAAAGTCAAACCATGAGGGTTCCTGGTCGCCTGTCAGGGCCGCCACAGGCCTGTGGGTCAGTCATCTCAGTGGGTACTATGTAGAGGAAGCTAAACCGATTCCCTTTATCTTAATCCTCCTTATCTGTCAAGCAACAGACATTTTCCTGTCAAGCTGATGGGAGATGCTTTCTCACTGTCAGAACTCATCTTGGGAGCTTCTGGCCTCCAGTCAGTCTTCCAGAGGCCAAAGAGGCCATATATTCGCTCGTTGGCCTGGTAATTAAGTCCCCAGGTGTCCTGTTTCTCAGTCATGTTCCCAAAACCTCACTTAAGAAGCATCAGGTCTGGTGGACCCTACTGGTTTCCCTCCCACCAGCTTTATGAAAACTCTGCAAACAACAACAACAGCAAACAACAATAGCAAGCACCCAGTTAGGATGACCTCCCACGACTAGCTGCCCCGCCTTCTCCCTTCCAGAGATCGCTGCAGGGAAGGGCCAGCTGCAGGAAAGGAAGAGAGATCCACCTCTTGGGGAGAGCAGGATTGTTGGATTTCTTTTTAAATTGTCTTAGTCTCCTACAATCCTATTTTATTTATTTTTAAACCTCTGCATTTTTCCCCTGTGAAACTTTCGCTTTAGCCTTTCTCTTTTTCAGTCGTATATTATTGCAATTATTTTGCAAACTCCAGCTTCCCTGGTCATAATTCTGGAAGCACTTCCATTTCCATTTCACGATGCCAACTTCTCTGACCCCTCCCCTTACATTCTACAAGTGTGCGATCCACAGCAGAAGAGTTCCGGAGCTGTGTCCCTGTGCCCTGCTTGGCAGCAGTATGACCGGGCATTGTTGGTGTGGTGTGTTATTTATTTGTTTGTGTTTTGTCTTGTTTTGTTTTTCCTGCAGGGGAAGTATGTATGCATTATCATGATTTTCACAGTCTCGTGGAACGAAGTTTAGGGGAAAGAAAGTAGGGGGAGCACAAAGAAAGACAGACGACACTGATTTCAGGGGTCCAAGGCAAACATGGAAAACCTCCTTCCTCCCACTTCCCCCCTGAGCCGGTGACCCAGGATCCTTCACTCGTCTTTTCCCGGCTAAGTGCAACGTTTACGAAGGCATTTCTGAAGACGAGTTGATGAGGGTTCCCCTTTCACGCGCTCCTAAATAACAAATTCTATATTCGTGTCTCTAAATCAGGACTCCTGTACCACTCCAAGTGGCCCCGGTGAGGGAAGCTAGTCGTCCCGCTTGCAAGGGACCCATCACTATATCACTGTGTTTGCATCTACCTGCTGGGAAACCCTGCAGACAGATGGAATAGTGACTTTGACACATGTATGCTCTCCCATTCCCGAGCGAACCCTGCCCTTCCCCTGCAGTGTGCGTGGGCACCGCTCATCCCCCTCATCTCCATCTGAAGTACCAGAGCCCAGGAGCCGACAGAGGTACAGGGTACCTCCCTGGAACGCCACCAGTTATGACCCAGCTGAGGAATTCCTTCTTCAGTGGCAGGGAGGGGGCCAAGCAGACAGCTGTGGCTCCGCAGCTTGGGCCTCTGCGGCAGTGACGGTGGCTAAGAGGTGTGTCCCACCGCCCCGACTCAATCCCATTCCTGTGTACCAGGGGCCAGCCCTTAACACCTCTGTAGGTCTCTTGCGCTCCTTGGGAGCATCTTCCGTCTCTTTTTGCAAGGTATAGGCGCTCACTGCACTGTCACTTCTGCCCATGGGGAAAAATCTGTTCCGATTCTCACTCAGTGCTGTCGCCCCCCGCCTCCATTTCTAGCCTTAAACAGCCCACTTTCGCTTCCACAGGTTGCTTCCCGCCTCCCACTCCCTTGGGCTCCCCTATCCCCGCATCTTTTTGAGCATCTGTGACAGTTGGTGGCAGCCAAATGGGATGCTAAGGGTACCCGGTGTCCCGCGATCTCGATAGCCCTCCGGCCTTGCCTGGCTTTCCCCCCCACTACCCCAAGGGGTCTTTTTCTTACCTTTATCCTGGACAATGGCACTGGTGCTCGGGGCGATGACAAGGCCTTTAGACCCGTCTCTGGAGCGACCACTGGACACTGCAATAGACGAGGTGCTGTACTCAGCTCCGGACAGGACTCCGGAACCGGCTCAGGGCAGGATTCTGTGGCTGGTTCTGGGGCTGGTTCTGGGGCTGGCTCAGAGGCCAGGTCTGTGGCTGGTTTTGGGGCCGGCTTGGGAGCCGGTTCCGTAGCTGGTTCTGAGATCGGCTGTGTGGCTGGTTCTGGGGTTGGCTCGGGGGCCGGTTCTGTATCTGGTTCTGGGCTCTGTTCTGTGTCTGGTTCTGTGGTCGCCTCTGGACGGGATTCTGGAGCAGGCTCTTGACAGAACTGTGGTGCCGGCTCCGGCGAAGGCGCGTGGAGCGGCAGAGGAACCGGAGGTGGAGGAGCGGGAGGCGGTGGAGCCAGAGGCGCTGGCGGTTGTAGTGGCGGCCACGGTGGCGGCGGCTCTGGAGACTCTACCGACTGCTCTCCATCCTTAGGCGGGGCAGTGCCCTGGGCTGCGAGCGCCCCATGGTCCATGGCCGCACACCGCTTCAGGTCTAGGCAGCCTGTGCCCCTGAACTTGGAGGGCTAAAGAACCCTCGGGCGCCCTGCCCCCTCCAGTTCTACAACCCCTTGCAGGGTGCCAAACTTTCCTCCGCCCCACTCCATGGCTGGCTCCGCTCTGATGTCTAACCCGGGGCGCTCAGCGTCTCCCAGTGCTGGAACACGCCCCTCCGTGAGCGCACACCTCTTCGTAAGCAGCCAAGGGCCAGATGGGCGGGAAGCAGAGGGGCTTGCGAACGCGGACTGGACAGAGCTTTGATGACCTCCTAGCGACGCGCGGGAGAAGAGGGGGGAGACAAAAAGGGGAGGGGGAGTACAGAGGCTTGGGGGGGGGGGTTGG